TATTGTTGCTATACTTACAGCTTATTAACTTTTAACCAATTATGTTTGATTATGCTTTGCTCAGCTTTTAGCTCTTTACAATATGTTTCTTGTTTTGTAGTTTTTTTCTATTTAACATTTAATAACTAACCTTTTGCTTTTTATCTTTTTATGTATTTATTCTGAGTAATTATGTACAAATGTGCATTGTCAACCTAAATATATGGAATCATTCTAAAAACTTTTTTTGATTATGTAACGGTAAATAAATCAAAATTATAACATGAGCATGATAACTGACAACAAACTGAAATGTTTGAATCTAAAAACATTTAGACCTAATTTTAAAGAAAATAAAATATTTAGGTTGGACATTCCATAAAGGATAAAAATAAATACTAAGTAACATAACATCAAATCTTAGCACAAAGAATAACAAATTAACACAATTATTTGTGCTTAAATTTGTACAGCTAACTCATGTGCACTGTCTCAAATTTTAGTTTTTCTTCCTATGCATAAAAATAATCTTCAAACAAAAACAACAACATTGATTTACTTGGTTCTAAATACTTTGTAATAACTACAGTTTTAAGTCTTTGTTACTTTCACACCAGTACTACCTATTACTGTTGCTAGATATTGTTATTAAGTCATTACTCTTTTAATGAATTAAGTTCCAATCCACAAAAACAGTTTGAACTAATATCCAGGGTCCAGACCAGAAGAAGATTGAATAAAATGTTACGGCAGGAAAGAAACTCAGTTTAAAAATTCTGTGATAGATCTGAGATTCAAAAGGATGTGTTGAACGTTCTTTCCTCCTGCATTTGGAAAAGACTAAAAAGATCGTAAAACATAGATATCAAATGTTCCGTACTGGTTTTTCTCATTTTCGCAGGTACGTTTCTTTGTGTTGTTGCTCTGAACTTCTAGCAGTGAAATTTCTGGTTTGACAAATTTAAAAACAACAACATTTGTTCCAGTGCTGTGGGCAGAAGACTCGTCAACATCCTGTTTCTTGGCCCACCTTTACCCACAGCACCTGTGTGACGTCACAGCTAGTCATGGTCAGGTGGGAACTCTGTCAGCTCCTGACGCCCACACCAGCACGCGAACCATTCAACCATCAGATGAATGGAGGCCCAGCCCCAATTTTCTCCCTAATTGCTTCTGAAAACATGTCACGGTGCTGAACAACACGGAGGGCGACAGCTCCTGTTGTTTTTCCAAGGGATTAAGTCAACAAGCACAGACAGCGACATGAAAGAACTCACACACATCTCTGTGGTTTCTCTCACTCACACGGACAAGCAATTGATTAACTCATATATCAACCTCGTCCCAGGCCCCGGGCCCTGGAGGTCCCCGCTCCCCCTCTCCTACCCCACCAACCCAGAACGGTGGTGAGAAGCTGCGGCCCATCCCATTAGCCTCCAGCTAGGTGCACGGAGGCGGGATGTTCACACTCATGGCAGAAACCCAGCGGGAGGGAGAGGCCGAGCCCAGCAGGTAGAGTGGCTGCTGAGGATTAGAAAAAATTAGGGTGGGGTCGTGGAAAATGACAGGTAAAGGATTCGTAAGTGTTTTTATGATGACAGGAGAGGGATGGAGAAGAAACACAGGAGGATATAAACGTGTTAAATGGACAAAGAAGAAGATCCAGTGATTCACACACAGTGTGGCGCTGCCAAACATCAGGAGACAGACGCAGAGAGCAAAAAAGAGAAAGACAGAGTAGAAGAATGCAGTAAATCCCTGAGCGACCCAGAAATTCTCTGGAGAAAGGAAAGAGGAATTTTTATGTGCTGCAGGTGAGCAAAGCAGGGAGGGAAGGAGAGGGAGAGAGGGAGAGACAGAAGACGAGACAGAACACGAGATAGACAGATGGAAAAAGAGACAGGGAACGCGGGGGTGGCCGAGGGAATTGAGGGGAAGCGTGAAAGGGTTTGATTGTAGCAGAGAAAAGGGCACACATGGGGTGAAAATGAAGCAGAAATGACCGAAAATGAGACAAAGTGGTTCGGTACGGTCGGAGACGACAAAGGGAAGGAGAGAGGAAGAGAGGAAGAGAGACACATGGGGAAAAGATTGGAAAACTGAGTGTGACAAAAAGGATAAAGAGAAAACAGGAGGGAAAAAGATGAAGAAGAAGAAGAAGAAGAAGAGGAAGAGGAGCGCCGAGGAACTAGATGAGTGAATATGTGAATCTTTTGGTCCAAATTCATATTAACGGACTCTGGAATGATGACTTGATCCCTCGCTCTGTTAAATATCAGAGAAAAAAAAAGAGTTGGATTCATACAAGTGTGATTTCATTTGTTCTATCTTACTTTAGTTTTATTAATATCTTCTACACATTTCTTACATT